ATGTTGTAGCGGATTGGTAGTCCAGAGCTATCACCATAAATACCATCAGTGAGGAAGAAGGGGAAACACTACGGGTTGTGCGTCAATTCCTCAGAGCATGGACGCTGGAAGGAGAGGCAGAACGAAAGAACGTGGTAATGGAAGAAAAGTCCCAAGCAGAGGAGATCTCAATCGAAGAGAGAGCAAATGATATGGAGGAGTTGGAAGAAATTGTTAATGATAAACGATGCTATCAGGTTATCTGGCAAACAAGAACAGCGGGTTTAATGAAAATAGATTACAGCCAATGTGGCAAGAATAAGATTACTACTATTTGGTCCCAACCGGGGACATGTAAAGTTCTAATCTGCAAGGCACTGAAGGATGTGTCCGAGGAAGGGAGTAATAGAGATTATACCAGCTAAAATACAAAGTTACGGAAAGAAATATTATCCATCTCCTGAATTGCAAACTGACTTTGATCCAAATATTATTCAAAGAAAATTAAGATTAGGTCCTGAAGTTGTTGGAAATGTCCAGGAAGTGAGAGGAGAACATATAGTTAAATCTTCTTACAGAGCGATCATTTTAGGAGAATCATCGCCTGACCATTGAAAGGAAGGCAAAACTGATCTCGATAAAGGAACACAGACTGAAGAAGACAAAAGTTCTGATGAATTAGGTTCTAGACCATTCATAGGTGATCCTGCTAAACAAGTTAGATGTGAAAGATATCTCAGCTTTAGAAAGTAGGGGATAACGATGCTTTCAAAAATAATCTACCAAAGAAATTTTCCCCAGAAATAGTTAAAAGGAAGAAGGATACAAATGGTGTCATTAAAATTCAAAATGTAAATGATATTCAAAATTCATCAGCTGCTGATATACCTGTTGCTCCTGAACTAATGTATGCTTCCTCACCATCTACCAAACCAATTTTCATAGAGAAAACTGATACAAATGAAAACAGTGAGTCATCTTTGTATGAAATTGAATGGGTCAAAAAAGGTACTTCTAAGAAAAAGAAGCACTTAAGAAGAAAAAAAAAAAAAAAAGAAGGAACTCCAGGATTTGACGACTGAAGAGAGTTCCTTCGATTTTGTTTTACTATTTTTGAATTGTAAGAAACAAATCAAAACTCTTCAGGTGGGAGGATGTTAGGGAATCTGTCAAAAGTGATTTTTATTTTATAAATATTTAATGATTTCACATTGTTAGAAATATTCATATGTGAATAATTGTTATTGTTGTAAAAAAAAGTCTAAGGCCCTCCGCTGAAGAGGCGAGAAAAATCGAGGAGAACTGTGCATCATGTTCATCAAAACTCGCTTGCTTCGCCAATCTATCTATCTATCTATCGATATATATATATTAGTACTTTTTAATCTCGGGAATGAAGACTTTGTTTTTCACTGTTAAAACAATTTTTTCGGCAATGTAGAAATAGACGAAAATATATTTTCTTAATTTTTCACTTATCTTGTGAATAGCTGATAGGATTTTTATTATCGCTTTTCTAGCGTTTCAACCATTTTCCCCCAATGTAAAAGTAGAGGAAAATACGGAAATAGTGTAGAAAATTTTCCAAATTTTCATTCACTTTTATTTTTCAAATGGATGCTAAGATTCTCAGTTCCAACATTTTCCTGTTTTTTAGTGGTAGGCCAATGGAAACAGTAGTAGTACAAATTTTCTTTTGGTTTTCCTCTTTTATTACATGAATGGACCCTCGGTTTTTCATCGTCCCAACAATTTTCCAACTGTTTAATTTGGCCAAAATGGGGAACAATTGCAAAACTTTTCCGAATTTTCATTCGCTTTTCCTCTTTTATCTGGGGAATGAAGGAACCGTTTTCCAGTGTTCCAACCATTTTCGACCAAAAAGTTGGCGAAAATAAGTAAATAGTGTAGAGAATTTTTCCGAATTTTCATTGTTCCTACCACTTCCGAGCTGTTTAAAGGTAGGTCAATGGAAACTGTAGTTGTACAAATTTTCCGAATTTTCTGTAGCTTTTCCTCTTTTATTACGTGAATGGACGCTCAGTTTTTCATAGTCCCAACAATTTTCCAACTGTTTAGAGTTTGGCGAATATGAAGAACAAGTGCAAAACTTTTTCCGAATTTTCATTCACTTTTCCTCTTTTATCTGGGGAATGAAGGAAGGATTTTCCAGTGCTCCAACCACTTTCCTTGAATGGCTTACCTCTTAACATTAGAAAAATGTTTGGAACAGTGAAAACCTGTGCATTCATTCAGAGATAAATGAGGAAAAACGAATGAAAATTTGGAAAATTTTTTACACTATAAAAAAGTCATAAATAAAATATCACTTATTATACTATAGAAATAGCCAAAGGAATAGAAATAGGAATCAGTTTTTATTATTAATAATACGGCCATAATTTTCAATAAAGCAATTCATGCGTTATGCTCGAATTTTCTTGTTCTCAACAGTTCGCAGCTATCTCGTTTCGAGTTTTACTCTCTCTCGCTTCGATTCCATCTCGCCTCATTGGGGCGGGATATATAGGAATTTACTGGGAAGTAGTGTTGTTGGGGCATCGCGCCTATCTCTCCTCGATTTTTCTCGTTCCGTTGGGGAAGCACTTATTGCACAGTTCGATTCTGTATCGCTTCGTGTTCAGGTCCGTCTCGCTTCGAGTTCGAGTCTCCCTCTCGCCTCGTTGGGGAGCTATGTAGAAATTGACTTGGAAGTAGTGTGGCTGGGGAATCGCACATATTTCGTGTCCATCTCGTTTCGAATTATTTTTGATAGCTATAAAAATTTGTATTTAAGATTTTTTTGTGGTGCGAAAAACGAATATCAATTTTGTTTCTACATAAAAAAATATGCTCCCCCACATAGCTATGTCGGTTGGTCCAAATTATGCCAATACTGTAGCTATCTACCAAATATAATATTTATTAAAAACCAGTCTTGTTTCCAGAGTAAATCATTTTTTAGGGAGAAACATAGTTTATATTAGTTTTTCGCAGCAAGAAAAATTTGGTGAATTTCAGCACGAAATTTTTACCTTCGCTTGACCATTCAAAATTGTTTAAAAAGAGGAAAATCTAAAGAAAATTCGGAAACTTTGTACCACTAATGTCTCCATTCTAAGCAGTTCAGAAATGGTTGGAACAGTGAAAATCCATTCATGAGAAAAAAGACAAAAAACAAATGAAAATTTTCTACATCATATTCCCATTTTCGCCCACCTCTAATATGCCGAAAAAATTGCTGGAAAAGTTCAAAAAGCGAATGAATATTCGGAAAAGTTTTGCACTTGTTCTTCATATTCGCCAAACTCTAAACAGCTGAAAAATATTTGACACGATTAAATACCGAGCATCTATTCACCAAATAAAAGAGGAAAAGCGAATCTCAATTCAGAAAATTTGTAGAACTATAATTTCCGTTGGTCTACATCTATACAGTTGGAAAATGGTTGGAACATTGAAAATCCTAGCGTCCATTCACGTAATAAAAAAGGAAAAGCGAAAGAAAATTTGTATCACTACTGTTTTCATTGGCCTACCCCTAAAAAGTTGGGAAATGGTTAGAACAGAGAAAATCCGAGCATCCATTTTCGAAATAAAAGAGGAAAAGCGAATGAAAATTCAGAAACTTCTCTACACCATTTCCTTATTTTCGCCTACTTTTATATTGCCGAAAAATGGTTGGGACACTAGAAACCGATAATAAAAATCCTATCAGCTATTCACAAGATAAAAGGAAAAGCAAATGAAAATTTGGAAAATTGTCTACACTATTTTCTTTTACTTCTACATTGACGAAAAATTGTTTTAACAGTGAAAAACAAAGTCTTCATTCCCGAGATTAAAAAGTATTAATATATATATTGTAGCTAAAATCGCATAAGACGCACAGTTCGAGTGCGCCTCTCGATTTTTCTCGCCTCGTTGGGGAGAACTTGATGCACAAGACGATTAAGTCGAGTATGATGCACAGTTCTCCTTGATTTTACTCGCCTCGTGAGCGGACCTAAAAGTCTCAAATTCTAAAATTCTAAAATCTCAAATTTCTAACGTTTGTGTTGAAATAAAAGTTAGTTTATTTCAAATCCAGAGTACTCAACATTATTTAATTTGAACCTAGGGATCAAATATAACAGGTAGTTGTTATATATTGACCCTAACCCGAACACACACACATATGTATAGTACAGGTACTGCATGCCTAATTAAAGCTATTTCAGAGATATATTATTAAAAAATGTGTACATTAATTAATAAAGTATCCATACATATTAATATTTTATTTAATTTGTGTGTAAAAGATGGTTTTTATTTTCTGATCAAAATTTTTTTTTTATCATAATTATTTATGTAAAACCGCATCACTCAGTGAGTGATCATTATTTCATTATTTTTAACTAATCAATAAACATCAAAGATAGATTTAAATTTTTATTTTTAAATCAGGCACAATTTTTAAATTAAAAGTCAAATATAATAATTATTACATGATTTTGTGGAAAAAATTCAAAACCTGCTCTTAACTATTTATGAAATGAAGTTCCTCGTTAAATCAGCTACACTATTATAAATAGTATGCTCAATAGGTCCAGAAATGTAGTGAGTAACATAGGATATTATATCAATTATTAAACTTGACAAATTTTTTACAATTTGTAATCATAAAAACGAGATCACAAAAACCGTATAATTAAATATAATTTTATTTTTATAAAATTTCTCATGATCAAATATAATCTATTTGTATTAATTTTCAATGCATTTAATAATAAAAATAAAATAACATTCTAGGGAAAAGAAATCATATGTAACTAATAATATCTCTATTAATTTTTGTGCAGTTTAGTTTGAAGAAGATTTAATCTGGTCTTGTTCCATATTTAAGGATTAACTCCTAGTAATTTATTTCAGTTCAATTATTTTGTTTTATGTGCAAATTATCATTTAACTAGAAATCCTTATTCAAATTATCACAGCTATACAATAGTCATGTAAATACTCTTATGTTATACAATACAAACCACAGGTCTCCATCATTAATCCGTTTATCATTTGGTGCAGCAGCATGCCCATAATGAAGAACAGATCCATTATTACCAGAAGCACAAATACATGTATATGCAGCTGCTCTGCATCCTCCAATCTTATATACATAATACATAAAAGCAGCTTCAGCTTGATATTCATACATCCCTGGCTTTATTGATTTCATTACATATTTATGGGCTTCAGAAGAAATTTCGCAAGCATATCTGATTACATCAACCTCAAGAGGGGTTTTAATCACACGCCTAAAAAGAAAAAAATATAAAATAAAAATGTGTCCAAATACAGCGGACTATTGTTACCTTTATCAGCAGTAAACCTTAAATTTACATCCAGTTCAGTGGAAAAGGGAGTGGGTCATGAAGAAGAAAACAATAAAAATAATACTTACTAAAGAAAAGAAAAGGATAAAATAAATAAAAGTTGGATGCCACGTCACTTTAAAAATAAAATGACGAAAAATTTCAAATAATAAAACAAAACTATTAGGAAAAATATATAAAAATGAAATGTTATAAAATAATTAAATCTTATAAAATAGAAAAAAGATTACAAATATTTTTAATAAATTATATTCTTAGGTTTTGTATCTACAATTATCATTAAATTATATAAAAATGGTCTTAACCTAAAATAATTATTATTTTTTTTTTTTGGTATTGGAATTTCCCATATAACCAGTTATAAAATCATGTAGTTGTATTCCCATTCTTCATTATTTCCACTTCTTTATTATTCTATTTCTGTCTTTCGATAGAATTAATTTTTAAAAAACCAAGGATTAATCAAAATTTGCGGCACATTTGACTCATAAAATCTACCTGTGGAAGACTCCTGATAATGCTGGTATCATTTATCTAACATATTTCCTTGGGGAGCAAATGGGTAGGGTAGCAGGGGGCTGGAGAGGGAGATGGGATGATCAAGCAACAGTGCCATACCCACTGCTTGTCTCAACTCCTCACTATCTGATGCAATTATGAGGTCTTACATTGACAATAAAAGTGTCAGTTGCTTTAGATCCAACAGGAATGTCTCCTGGTGGAACTACAAACTTGGCAAACTAAGAGCCTCAACTAGAAAACTCTTTAATGCTGCCAAGAGCACAGGCAGATGGGATATCTATAAGCGTGCCCTAACTGAATACAATAAGGCCGTACATAGGGCAAAAAGGGGGGCGTGGAGAAATTTCTGTAGTGACATAAATTACACGTCTTCCACGTCCAGAGACCACAAAATTTTATCAAAGCAAACAGATGGCTTGGTCATTGGCACGGTCAAGAATGAAGGAGGTAGCACCTATTCTGGGGAAGATACTCTGGAGGATCTGGCGCGTGTTCATTTTCCTGACTGCCTAATGCTTGATGAGCATATCCTACTATGGATCGTTACACCTGTGGCAAAGACAAGTGGGTTGAAGCCAAAAGAATTGTGAATTCTAGAAGAGTTGAACGGGCAATTAGTTCCTTTACACCGTTCAAATCAGCGGCTACTAATGGGAGAGATCTTTCCGGCCCTTTTACAAAAAGGCTTACCTGTGATTAAACCCAATCTCTTGGCGTTATTTAAGGGTAGTTTAGCACTTGCATATATCCCTAATAGGTGGAGGGAAACAAGAGTTAGCTATATACCTAAGGCCGGGAAAGAGTCTTATGACAATCCCAAAGCATACAGACCTGTATGTCTGACTTCTTTTCAGTTGAAAGAGCTGGAAAAGATTATGGATAGACACATTAGAGATTCTACATTAGTAGAAAGAATGCTACACTGTGCCCAATCTGCCCATCAAGCCAGCAAATCCTGTGAGACAGCATTACTTCATTTGGTCTCTATAATCGAGAAAAGCTTATCACAGAAAGAGATTATGGTGGGTATCTTTGTTGATATTGAAGGTGCCTTTGATTGTACCCTGTATGACACAATGGCTAGAGTAATGGAAAGTAAAGTCTTTTATTCTTGTTTTTATTATATTGTAGCACTAAAATTGGTTACCTATTAAACTTATTTAGCATTTCTTTCCAATTTTATTTAGTTGTAAGTATGTTGTTGTTTTTTGTACCATTATTATAATATTGTAACCGTTGTACCCATCTGCTTTCCTTAATACACCCTCCAAAACTATGTATATACTCATTTTATTACTTAGATTGTAGTTACTCTTTATTATAATAGGTATCTGGCCAGATTTATTGTCAATTGGTTTAAACAATATTTGGTTGTTATTCTCAAGGAACCTAGCCCCAGAATAAAGATGATTTTCTATTTCTAAAGGGGTTGGACTCTTGACTTTGGAATGTATTAATTCAGTTCTGAGAGGGAGAGTCCTTAAATCTGAGCTGGAACAATCTGTAATATGGGTTAAATCTGTTGGAGGATGTCCACAGAAGGGGCGGGTGTTGCCTCCACTTATGTGGTGTTTGGTCGTCGACTCCCTGATTGTTAAATTGGATGCGGCAGGATTTTATTCTCAACTAAAAAATAGCATGAATTTGTCGCCTTTAACCTAACCTTAACTTCCTCATCAATTTCGTTTTTTCTTGTCATCATAGACCCAAAATACCTAAACTTCTTTGTGTGCTCTAACGTATTTCCTTCAATATCTGTAACATAAAAATTGTCACCAATTTTGCTGCTAACCATGTATTTTGTTTTGTCCATATTTATTTTGAGCCCCAGGTATTTACTGACTTTTATTAACGTTATTGTATTTAGTTTTTTTGTTTCTGTGTCTTCTCTTAACAGTACCAAATCATCAGGATACCCAAGCACGGATATTGTGCACCCAGATTCAAACCTTTTACAGTATGTATCACCTTTCTAATGCCAAATTTAATAGGAGAGGTGAAAGGGAATTGTGGTTTTGAACCTTGTTATAAGTCCAAATGAACCTCAAATTTCACAGATGATAACCGATTCCTCTTTGTAATGAGCTATAAATCAAAATTGTATTCTGACATGATGCTGAGTTAGAGGGTTGGAAAGGGAAAAAGACAGAGTAGAATACCAAATGATGACGAGTTTTGTTGAACATATGGATTAAAATATACCAAGATTAAAAATTAGACCTACATACTGTAAAAAAGGGAAATTTTCAGCATTTGGATCCTCTTTGTAATGAGCTATTATTAAATAAAATAAACCTGTATCTTAATGCGATGGCAGCAATTGCACTTTTCTAGGTCAATAGAAATAAGAGTCTCTGTGAGATCTGGGGAGATTCCCATGGGCCTGGTGATGAGTGAGGGAGCTGGGCCTGGGCCTGAGTTTAAAGATGGAGGATATAGACTGCGCAGAATGGATAAGAACCAGGCAAGATGATACGCTCGGGCTGCTTCTGGTAAGGTTATAAGGGATTTTTCATCACGCCACCTTGGATGGCAAGAAAATGCCCAAAAGTTTTACCTAAGCGAAGCTATGTCCGTAACCAACAGACACTTGTACTCGTTGGCCCGGCAGAAGAGGTCTGCTGGGAAAATCAGATATGTGAGATTTAGTGCAGGCAAGGTGAAATGCTGACGGGGGGGATGGCCAGCAGGTCATCGTCATTAATTCACCATCAGACTTGGACATGTTTGCATGACATGTACATTCATGTTTTGTTACATTGTACAATTTTGTTTTTACTTTATTAATTTACTTCGGTAATAATTTCATATTTTTTTATGAAAAAATTTTAGGTTTGATCTGTTTAGAAATTCTAATTTATGTAATTTTATTCTTTCTCAGGGTAGGAACAGACTTTTCGTTAACTAAATTCTATATTTTCTGTTTTCCCTCATTATTAATATCTGGGAAATTTTATAAACTTGTTGTTCTTCTCAATAGAGATATTATGATTAATTATGGTGTCTGGGCTCATATTGGCTCTAGCTACTGTAGAAATATTCCTATTCTTAGCTCCTCCTGTCCGTTTACCAAGCCACCCCTCCTTCTTCCATGACTAATATCCTTTTGACCAGCCACGTCAACGCTCAGTCACTCTGAGCCCATTTCGATGAATTTTTTCCCCATAACTTCTACCACTAAATTGCTGTATCCAAAACCTGGTTGAAACCAACAATCCCGTCTTCCCAGATCAGATTGTGTCCAGTGCTCTCGTCATGTAAACATCAACAACTATTGCCATCTTACGTTACGAGTCCTAGGATTAGGAACTTAAACTGAGACTAAATTACAAAGTGCTCATCGGTTTCTTCTCTCATTGAAGAAGTCATCGGAGAATAGTCTCCAATATAAAAAACACAGTGGAACGAGAAGAAGTATTTACATTACATATATATAAACGGTGAGTCGACATATTGCCGAGTAGTAGGGAGCGTGTGAGCAATAATTAGTTCGACTCACTTGTCTTATTAACTTGGGAGGTTACGTCCATTGTCTTCTCTCTCACGATCTTTTCTATTTTTTTTTCTTTTTGCTTTTCTCTCTAAAAACAAATAAAAATGATCAATTGCCCCTTATGTAAGCAGATCGTGTAAGGGAAGATAAATAAACGTTAATTTGTTCCACTTCCAGCTGCCAAGCGATTTTTCATGGGAAATGTTTGAATGTAGAAATAAAAGACATTGAATCCCTAAAAAAAGAAATTACTTGGAAATGCCCCAATTGTGATAAGGCCCAAAAAAATAGTTCGCTTATCGGAAGAGACACGAGTTCACAGCATATCACTGAGGATGCTGCATCGCTGTTGCTGCTCTCTGCAATCAAAGAGCTTACAACGGAGATTAGGAACCTGAGAAGTTCCGTTTTTTTTTTTTTTAATTTATTTATTACCAGATCGGCCTGGTGGGCCTTACATGGTTGTTGTAACAATTTGATGATTTTTAACAATTGTTCTGGTGGGGTATAGTCTTTGCAAAAGACACCCCTAACTATTTATACATTATAATTATTGAATAATTACAATTAATAAAGAAAAAAATTATTAATTGTTCATAACATGATGTCTTGGATCAGTCTGGGCTTCAGTCTTCGAGATGAGGTTGGGTTTCCTAAGTTGTAGGCCACTGCACCTTTAACTGCTGGTAGCTGCGTATGGAATTTTTTAAATCTTTTTTTGATGAATTCATCTATTGTTTCCAATTTTAGTTCTCGATGTAGTTGAGCGTTTCTTATGAACCAGGGGGCATCTACTGCAATTCTTAATACCTTGTTTTGAAAGGATTGTAGTTTTTTTCTTTTCGTAGCTGAAGCGGCTCCCCAGACTTCACATCCGTACATTAGCAAGGGTCTTAGTATGGTTTTA